GCAAATATGATGCACTAGCCTAGCATGTGGAATACAATGTGCGTCTTGACAAAGCACAGGTCACGTTCGCACTCTTCATTGCACATCCCTGATGAGGCTACCGGTGGCATGGCCACGTTGTCTGGCCTCTCCCATGCTCCGCATTCCCGACGCGAGTCACGCGCGCCGCTGATGAGATTTAGCCTCCCAGCATTAAGGCCAGATCTTAATAGTAGGAGTCTCATCGTGGGCCCCTTAGCGCGATGCCATCGCGTTGCTTTCGGAGCTGCTCGGTGGCGACGGACGGATCGAAGCTTCGGAAGTTTTGGAGACTGACCTGGACATCAAAACGGGCCCAATCAGGGAGTTTCGGCGCAGACGTTTTCGCGGCAGCTTGAGCCGCAAATGCCTGCGATGGTGGTTCACCGCATTGTGTTCGCCCCCGCCGACCATTCGACCCGTGGATGGTCGTCGGAGCCCCCTGCCCCTCCTCCTCCTCCCCCTCTTTCTCCACCAGCCTGGATCCCGCGCGTCATGCTATGACTTCCAGCGCCCCGAGCGACGTCTACGGAAGGTCGTTGACGTGGACTGAAGTAGTCTGGGCTCGCACGCGCTGAGCGCCTTCCGCTTGGTCGTGGCACGTCTTGATGTGCTTCAGGTGCTGCGGGTGGGACTGCTGGCGGGGCTGGCGCTTCCGCTGGTGGTTGAGGAGCGTCGGCCAGAGGTTTATGCGGTTGCAAGCAGTTCGCATGGTTGTGCGGATCCGGAACTGCCAGATGTTCTCAAGTGTCCCGCTTTGCTCACGTGCGCGGGCCCCCTGAGTAGCCCAGCAAATCCTCGCGGGCGTTGCCGACATGCGCAGGGCATCCTAGACCGCCCGGCGGTGGTCTGACGATTGCGCCAGAAAGGCCACGACGAGGCATGTCTTCGGCATCAAGGTTGAAGCCAACGCTATTGACCACGAAGACTGGGGCGCGTTTCCGCTTGCCAGATGGGTCGACAGGTGGCCCCGTCAGCTTCTTCGCGACGGGGACTGCACGCGCGAAGGGTCGCTGGGGCACATGCGCGCGTTGCTGCGCTGCAGCGGGTTCCTTGCAGCGCGCTCGCACGCGTTCGCGGCGACCGCTGCATCTAATGTGCCAGCAGGGCGTGAGGATATCAGGGCGATTGCATGTGATCTGCGTAGGCTTCCTGATATGAGTGACGCGTGAACCTCCTAGCCCTGCGGCGCACTAACTACCGCGGTCAAGTGCGGCTTCGCCCCTGCAGTGCGCGCCAGACAAGCACTTCGTCAATCCAAGTGCCTCTCGGGCGTTCGCGCATCCAAGATCCACGCTGTTCATCCTGGGTTTTGGCATCGGCGCCGCACCAGGTAATACGTGGTAGGTCTTCCTGATGGTGCTCCCACCATGCATCGTGCTTGGCCATGGCGTTGAGGCATGATGGTAAGCCCGCGTCAAGAAAGCCGCTCGACGAAAGACGGCGCTCGAAGACAAGTTACGACATGCCTCCCACGCCGGCGCAGAGCTCCAACATATCATTACCTTTGCGCTGTGTGTAGCATAGTGTCGGAATAAATTTAAAGATATCGGCGCGCGCGCCCGCGGGCAGATCTTGCGAAGAGGCTTTGTTCCGAATCGGAATTTGAATCCGTCTCATGTGGAGCATCTGCACTGCAGTACGTCTTGCACCCGAGTCCTTCTAGGATGTCGCCACAGTCGCCGCCTCCCTCCACAACCTTCTTTGCTATCGTTTTTTGGTTTGATACCTGCCGCTGTTTCTGCTTTCTGCTTTCTCGTTATTGGATGGGCGCTTCAATCGGATGCGCTGGTTCGGGGGTCGAGAATTCAAGAACCGGTCTCAGCCCAATGAGCGGGGAGGGAGGAGAACAATCATTTTGGATGACTAAGGAGTCTTCTCATGCGTTGGGCATATCAGCTTGCCCCCCAGAAGTAGCACTGGCTCTGGGTCTTCCCAGTAGAAGTCGGCGCGTATGTTTTTAATCACTTTCGAAGGGTGTGAGCACCAATCGTAGCCAGCAGGGTGATCCTTAACCCTGACATCTTGTACAATTTGTTGGTGACAAGGTCGTGCGAAACTCTTCAAGTGGCTCGGCCCCATTGCTTGGGGCCCTTGCTATCCAGCAGTACACTGCGCGTTGCGTTACGACCTATACGAGAATACATATTTATTTATATATGTATATATATATATATATATATATATTGTACAGCGTGTCCGCTGTTCTCTTGTGAGGTATCTTACCTTTTGCCGTGGGCGTTCGGTAAGTGTGACTCGGACGTGGTGGCGCCATTCGGTGCGTTGTTCGCCATGACCGTACCAGCCGAGCGCGTGTTGAGTAGGGACCTTGCATTAGCATCTCCACATTTGTGTGGGGATGCGGCTGGAAGTAGTCACGACCTGTATATATGAACCACTGGGTTTCGCATCCCTACGGTTGTACTCGAATCCAAATGGACATACGCGCATACGGATTGTGTCGTTTATGAGCTGAAACTTCCACACATAGCCTGGAGGACCCATAACTACGATATGCACATTGAATCCTGTCGCCTCAAGAATTGGATTGCTTATCCTCTCCCAGTGTGCGTGTGCATATTCAGTTCCCCAGTAAGTGTATGTACCACTCCGTAGGTGTGGGAATCCACAGCATGGTGTAGTCTCTGGCCAGCACAGCTCCTAAGTACGTGGAGCCGTTGGCCGACATGACTTCGGTATGTGTTATTTTATCGCATGTGTTTCCACGCTAACTGAGTTGAGCAAAGACAATGCGGATATCTTCAATGACCAGGCAACGGGCGAAATTATTTGAGCTCGTTTCCAAGCGCGTCGCGAGTACCGGCTCAAGCACTCGGCAAGCTGAGGGCCGGTCCTCCCCAGCCTGCCCCCTTCGCGCGTTTCCACGTTGATCGTGGGTGTTCGTGTCGGTCGTCAAATACGTAATGCTGTGGGTGCTGTTCAAGTCCCTCGGGGCGCTTCCTGATGCTAGGCTAGCGTCTCCGCTGGAAATGTCGGCCGCGTCCATCGCGCAGCGCGGGACAGGGGTCCACTGCGCCACTCAAGTGGGGCGTCGGATGCAACAGGCCAGAGAGCGGAATACTGAGCTGGGCGGGGGTCGGGTGCCTGAGGCTGGAGATCGGAGTGCTGGGCTGGTGAAAGTTTGGGGTCGATGGGTGGACTTGGGCGTGGAAGATCGGCCGGCTCCTCGACCTGCTCTCCTTCCAGGCGTTGGAGTCGGAGCTGGGGTCGGACCGGCGCGCGCGGCGGTAGGGAGTCGGAGTCGGAGACGGTGTAGTTGTTGGAGTCGTGGCTGGAGTCGGCACCAAAGCAGGCGTCGGGAGGTGAGACAGAACTGGAGTACCGAGCCACCGTTGCCCGCCACACTGGGGAGTTGGGACTGGAAGCAAAGTCGACGACGACGGTGGAATTGGAGCCGGGGTCGGGGTCGGAGTAAGAACCAGGGACAAAACCAACTCCGGGGTCATAGCTGGAACCCAAGCCCGCGGGTCGATCATAGATGCGCCGGGATCGGCGGTGATGCCCAGTCCCGTCGTTTTGGGTGCCCCCTATTGTCGAGTGCCCTCGTTGCGTTGGCGTGGCGTTCGGCGCCCTCGCGCATCCATTGCGTCACTGCGTCGTGTATGTCGGTATCCTGCGTGAGCGGGTTGTGGCTGTAGTGATTTCTGGCGAAGTAGATGGCGTAGACCAGCAACACCACTGATGCAAGCTCGCGAATGTTCTGATGTTCGCACTGCGTAGCAGAAATGTATGACTTTCTCTCCTCCACCCTCGTTCTGCCCCTTTCGATTCCCACTACGATTGTGGATGCCATGACGATGAGACTCTAATAATCCGATCATTGCATTAAAGATGTGTTCAAGACATGTTTGAAACATGTTTTAGACATCTGGAAAGTATTTGGCAGCACGATTCCTCTCCCATAATCGACTTTCCACAACACTACGAATCTCCTCCTCCTCCTCCTCCACTACTCCCCTCTCTTCCCTGAAGACGCCGGCGAGGTGTGCTGGCTTCCTCCGCATATGGTTTTTCCACACCAGGTGCCGCCGAGTGATAATTAACATGTGTTGTTCCATTCCGCCGAACGTTATGATCCTCCCGCGTTCGTTCCTGCTGCTGCTGGTGCTGCTCGTCCTCATGTTTTTTCCTCCCGCGCATCCTGCTGCTCGCCCGCCACCTCCTCCTTTTCCTGTGCACGCAGCTCTCCTTCGCCCAATTGCGCATATAACACGAAGTGCTCTCTCTATGTTCGGGGAGACGTAAGACCCGGGTACGGGGGACTCGGAAATCCCCGACGAGGTCGTCAAAAAAATGACGAGGCCGAGCCTGCATTTTGACGAGGCCTCCCGCTGCAGACATCCCACGAAACTCCACCTCGTCAAAATCCGAGGCGCGGTCGTCAAAAAACGATGGCGAACCCGAGTCCTGGCAAACCCGGGTCTTACGCTCCCCCGATATGTGGGAGTCGCAAGTCGGCGATGACACGCGTCTGCGGGTAGAGAATCATCAGCGCCATCGAAAGGGACGGGAGGGTGGGATGGGATGCCCGATGAGGCGCGCGCGCGCGCCTGGCTTGTCCTCCAGCTCCTCGGCCTTCCCCCTCCTTCTTCTTCCTCTTATTATTATTATTATTCTTCTTCTTCTTCTTCTCTTCGCCCTAAGTAGGACGCTGGACCCAGCGCCTCGGGCAGAGGCGGGTGGAAGAACTCAGCCCAAGTGGGGGCCCCAAGTAGGGGGGGTCCGGCAGTGGGGCAGGTGCCTCCTCGGCCTTCTCCCTCCTGCTCCTCCGCCTCCTCCTCCGCCCTCCAGAGCCTCCTGCCCTCCCTCCCCCCCCTGCCCGTCTCGACCGCGGCCGCGCCCCTCCTACGAGATGGCGGCCTTGCCGCGGCTCGCGCCCACTCCCCCAAACGCCAGCGCGCAGGGCTTCCGGGGCTGCACGTACACGGGCGGCGCCACCAACGCGCCGTAGCTGTTGCGCATCAGCCTCGGCCCATGGACAGGGCCGACCGGCTCGGCAAGCGCAGGCCGCACCGGCACGCGTGCCGCCGGGTGTGCCGGCGCACAGACGGGCTCCTGGTACACGGTTTCCCCCGGGGCCGTAGGCGATCCGCGGAGGAGGAGGAGGAGGAGGAGGAGGAGGAGGAGGAGGAGGCGGGGGTGGGAGGGGGAGGAGGGGGAGGAGAGGGAGGAGGAGGAGGAGGAGGAGGAGGAGGAGGAGGAGGAGAAGGAGGAGGAGGAGGAGGAGGAGGAGGAGGAGGAGGAGGAGGAGAAGGAGGAGGAGGAGGAGGGATCGCCTAAGCCCTTCGGAGAAACCCTCCAGCTCCTGGGGGGGCGTCGGCGCTGGCCTCGGACCGTCGAGCCGCCGCCAGAGCTCGCGCTGCAGGCGCTCGCACTCCGCCTCCAGCGCCCGCACCTGCTGCGCGTGCCGCTCCTCCAACTCGGCGTTGTGCCGCTCCACCGCCTCGGCGTGGCCCCGAGCGGCGTCCGCCTGCCGCTGGCGCTCCCCCTCGCCGACGGCCGAGGGCGCCTGGGAGCGGGGTGTCGCCAGAGGGGCACCTGGGCATCTCTGAACAGATCCCTATCCCCACTGGCGTGGCCTTGGCCCCTCTGGCCTACTTGCCCACCTGTAGGTGGGGAGGTGTGCCTGCTCTTTCGGGTTTCGTGGGGCCTGTCCCAACCGAGGAGGGGGCGCCAGTGGGGCTGACATATCGTGGCCCAGAATAGAAGCTTCCAAAGTAGGGTCCGAGCAGATGGGGTCGCAGGGTCGTACCGCATTGCCGATACATCATTGATGCATCGGCGATGCATCGACGACGTCCGCGATGCACCGGCACCGTCACCGCGGAGAAAGCCGTACTCCACAGCGAGCCGCACAGCCGATGCATCGGCGATGCGGCGCGATCCTCCGACCCCATCTCGGACCCCCAGCCTGGGAGGCCTAGACCACTGGGGATGGGGATAGGTTGGACGATGCTGAGCACCAGCGGCCCCGCCCCCTGCGGGCGCCCGGCCCCGCAGCTCCCTCCGCAGCGCCTCCCGCCTCAGGCGCTGCAGCTCCTCGGCCGGCCCCCTGCTCGTCTGCGCCAGGACGTCCGGCGCCGACAGCGGCTGCCGGGGCGGCTCCTCAGATCGAGGGTCGACCGAGGACGGCGGATCGACCCAACATCGAGGATCGAGGGGCCGGTCGGGGATCGAGGGCTCGATCGAGGATCGGGGGGCACAGCTCGAGGACCGGGGGTCGACCCAGAATCGAGGATCGGGGAGTCGATCGAGGACCGGGGGGTCGATTGAGCATCGAGGAGTCGATCGAAGATCGGGCCGTCACGGGTTCAGATGATCAGCGTACCAGAAATGGCGTGTTAGAAGGATTCAGGGCTATGCGGGTGCAACAATTACTTTGGTTCGCGGTGTTGAAATCACAAGACTGGCGTTCTGGCACGATTCAAGATTGTCAAGACGCAACAGTCAGGTTGATCCGTGGCGCTGGAATCCCGAGAACAGTGTTTTGGCATGCTTCAGGGTCTTCAAGCGGTTGTCTTCGAACGATCCTCGAGGCAGTCGACCGAGGATCGAGGGGTCGATCGAGAGCCGAGGGCAGCGGCGGCGGCTGGAGGCTCCTCGGCCAGCAGCCTGGCCCGCGCGCCGAGGCCGAGGTGCGGCAGCAGATCGGCCGTCCGCTCCGGCAGCGCGCCGAGGCCCAGGTGTGGGCGCGGCCCCTCGGCCGCCAGCCCCACCCGCGCGCCGATGCCCGGCTGTGGCCGCGGCTCCTCGCCCGGCTATGTTCATCCCTCCTCCTCCCCCCCTCCTCCTCCTCCTCCTCCTCCCCTCCTCCTCCTCCTCCTCCTCCTCCTCCTCCTCCTCCTCCTCCTCCTCCTCCTCCCCCGCCTCCCTCCTCCTCCTCCTCCTCCTCCTCCTCCTCCTCCTCCTCCTCCTCCTCCTCCTCCTCCTCCTCCTCCTCCTCCTCCTCCTCCTCCACTTCCTCATCCTCATCCTCCTCCTCCTCATCCTCATCCTCATCCTCCTCCTCCATTCCTTTTCCTAGTTGATCACTACTCCCTGTCGCACCCCGATGCCAGTTTTTAGGGCGGGCTGGGCGTTTCGCCTGAGACTTCCTCACCACTGATGACCCTGAATATTAAACATTGGCAACAGTTTCAAAGATGGAGGGCGGGTCGTTTTCAAAATGTGGCCCTCGCCATAGCGCCGCGCACATTCGTGCTTAAAATTTGCAAGGAGCTTCACGGATTAGGGCGGCCCGTTTTCAAAATGTGGCTCTCGCCCGAGCGCCGCGTACATTCGTTGAAAACGCTGCAACAATTTCATGGATTGAGGGCGGTCCCTTTAAAAATCTGGTTTCACGGGTTCAGATGATCAGCGTACCAGAAATGGCGTGTTAGAAGGATTCAGGGTTATGCGGGTGCAACAATTACTTTGGTTCGCGGTGTTGAAATCACAAGACTGGCGTTCTGGCACGATTCAAGATTGTCAAGACGCAACAGTCAGGTTGATCCGTGGCGCTGGAATCCCGAGAACCATGTTTTGGCATGCTTCAGGGTCTTCAAACGGTTGTCTTCGAACGAGGCAGTCGATCAAGGATCGAGGGGTCGATCGAGAGCCGAGGGCAGCGGCGGCGGCTGAGGCTCCTCGGCCAGCAGCCCGGCCCGCGCGCCGAGGCCCAGGTGTGGGCGCGGCCCCTCGGCCGCCAGCCCCGCCCGCGCGCCGATGCCCGGCTGTGGCCGCGGCTCCTCGCCCGGCTATGTTCATCCCTCCTCCTCCCCCCCTCCTCCTCCTCCTCCTCCTCCTCCTCTCTCCTCCTCCTCCTCCTCCTCCTCCTCCTCCTCCTCCTCCTCCTCCTCCTCCTCCTCCTCCTCCTCCTCCTCCTCCTCCTCCTCCCCCTCCTCCTCCTCCTCCTCCTCCTCCTCCTCCTCCTCCTCCTCCTCCTCCTCCTCCTCCTCCATTCCTTTTACTTGTTGACCACTAGTCCCTGTCGCACCCCGATGCCAGTTTTTGGGGCGGGCTGGGCGTTTCGCCTGAGACTTCCTCACCACTGATGACCCTGAATATTAAACATTTCAAAAATGGAGGGCGGGTCGTTTTCAAAATGTGGCCCTCGCCATAGCGCCGAGCACATTCGTGTTTAAAATTTGCAAGGAGCTTCACGGATTAGGGCGGCCCGTTTTCAAAATGTGGCTCTCGCCTGAGCGCCGCGTACATTCGTTGAAAACGCTGCAACAGTTTCACGGATTGAGGGCGGTCCCTTTAAAAATCTGGTTTCACGGGTTCAGATGATCAGCGTACCAGAAATGGCGTGTTAGAAGGATTCAGGGTTATGCGGGTGCAACAATTACTTTGGTTCGCGGTGTTGAAATCACAAGACTGGCGTTCTGGCACGATTCAAGATTCTCAAGACGCAACAGTCAGGTTGATCCGTGGCGCTGGAATCCCGAGAACCATGTTTTGGCATGCTTCAGGGTCTTCAAACGGATGTCTTCGAACGAGGCACTTCCCTTAGTGGAAATGAACCGTTGCAGGGGCCGTTGAAAAAGGGAGCTTGGAGGGAGGGTATATCCCAACATAGTTGATGACATCGGGCTTCCACTGGTCCTCCTCCTCCTCCTCCTCCCCTCGTCCTCCTCCTCCTCCCTTTCCTCCTCCTTCTCTTCCTCCTCCTCCTCCTCCTCTGGCCTCCTCCATTCCTTTTGCTTCTACTGTCGCGCCCCGAAGCCAATTTTCAGGGCGGGCCGGGCGTTTCGCCTGAACCTTCCGCACCATGTCTGACTACGAAGCGTAAACTTGACAACAGTTTCACACATTGAGGGCGGGTCGCTTTCAAACTGTGGCTTTCACTTTAGCTCCGCGCACATTAGTTGTAAACAGTTGCAAGAGCTTCATTGATTGAAGGCGGGTCGTTTTCAAAATGTGGTTCTCGCCTTAGCGCCGCGCGCATTGGTGTTTAATTGCCAGGGTTTTCACGGATTGGCGGCGACCCATGTTCAAAATGTGGCTCTCGCCTTAGCGACGCGCGCACTCGATTTAAATACTTGCAAGAGCTTCAAGGACTGAGGGCGGTTCCTTTTCAAAACCTGGTTCTCGCCCTAGCACCACGCGCACTCCTCCAAACCAACTGCAAAAGCTCAGCGGGTTCCCATGATCTACATACCAAACCTGGTGTTTTGGAAATATTCAGGATAATGCGGGCGCAGCAGTTACGCTGATCCGCGGTGTTGAAGTTCCAGGAATGGCGTTTTGGCACGATTCAGGAGCGTCAAGACGCAACAGTCAGGTTGATCTGCGGCGTTGAAATCCCGAGAGCACCTTTTTTGCATACTTCAGGGGTCTTCAAGCGGTTGTCTTCCAACAAGGCAATTCCCTTAATGGTAATGAACCGTTGTAGGGGCCTATGAAGAGGGAGCTTGGAGGGAGAGTGGATTCCAACATCGTTGATGGCTCTAGGGTTTTCAGTGGTCCTCCTCCTCCTCCTCCCGCCTCCTCCTCCTCCTCCTCTTCCTCCTCCTCCTCCCGCCTCCTCCTCCTCCTCCTCCTCCTCCCTCATCCTCCTCCTCCTCCTCCTCCTCCTCCTCCCGCGTCCCCTTCCTCCTCCTCCTCCTCCTCCTCCTCCTCCTCCTCCTCCTCCTTCTCCTCATACCACCTCCACCCTCCTCCCTTCTCCCTCCTCCCTCCTCTCTCCTCCAGCCCGGGCTCAGATCGCCTCCGCCGGAGGTCGCGAGCCCAAGCCAGGAGGCCCCCCGCCTCTGCCCTCCCCCTCTTCGCCCCCTTCCCCTTCCACTCAGCCCGCGCCATGTCCGTGCCTCCCTGGCGGGCGGCCCCGCGCCCACGGCGTGCGGCACCGGAGCGACGTGCCCAACGCCTGCGGGCCGAAGGCCGAGCCGTGCAGGTGCTCCTTCGCTGCTTCGACGAGCTCGGGCGGCATCGTGGAGGTTGTCCCTCCCGGCTGGGGGCGGCGCTGGCCACAGCCCTTCGTCCACCGCGGGCGGAGCCAGCCAGCGTCCGGAGTTCTGGTCAGCTTCAGGCGCTCCAACAAGTTTTTGCCCAGCCAACCGCAGGAGTTCCAGCCTCAGGAGTACCAGCAGCGGGAGTACCCGCAGGAGGGGTACCAGCAGCAGGTGTACAGCCAGACCGGTCCCCTGCCGCCGCTGGAGTATCTGCAGCTGGCGTACCAACAGGCGGAGTTCTTGCAGCAGAAGTGCAGCCAGTCCGATCCCCTGCAGCCGCAGGAGTTCCAGAAGCAGGAGTTCCAGCTGGAGGAGTTTCAGTCCGGTCCCCTGCCGCTGCAGGAGTACCAGCAGCGGGTGTACCAGCAGGCGGAGTTCTTGCAGCAGGGGTGCAGCCAATCCGGTCCCCTGCAGCCGCAGGAGTACCAGCAGCAGGAGTACCAGCAGATGTGCCAGCCCGGCCCCCTGCCGCCGCAGGAGTACACGCAGCAGGAGTTCAGCCAGCCGCAGGAGCTCCACTTCAAGCTGTAGCGCCCTCTTTTTTGCCCCACAGTCCTGCTGTGGCTCCAGGCCACACACACGTCACCTCCAGTCTTCTTCCTGGCCAGTCTTCTGGGCTTTTTCGCTCCGTCGTAGCGGCCGCCCGGCAGGCGCCGCCTCTTGACGCAGTCACGGTCGCGCGGCAGCGCGGCTACAGTCCCGCGCTGCGCAACCTCGCCAACCGGCCTGAAGCAGCAGGCCACAGCGCACAAGTGCTTGCAGCGGTGCTCCTCGAGACTCGAGGCCTCGTGCACCCTGCCAGGGCACTGCTTGCTCGAGGCGGCCCTGGAGACTGACGCTTCGCTCTTTTTGAGGGGGGGGGCCATGTCTGGGGTGTTCATGCGCAGCCTACTCCGAGCCGCTTGTTCACCTGACAAAAGTTGATTGGCCCCCCTCCACCTAGCAGCCGGCCTTTTTCAGGCTGCTGGACGGGTTCGTCTGGTCCCTGGGCGTACCCTCGACCCCGTTCAACGGGGTGGGCGGGCGTGAGGGACCCGATGTGCTCGTCCTCTCTCTCCTCCTCTCTTGGCCTCCGATTGTCCGGTCCCTCCTCCCAGGCAATGCTTGCGATTTTGCACTTTTTCTCACGTACGTTGTCATTGCTTCACATTGTTATTGTTCATCCCTCGTTTCACCATACATTTGCCCGGTTCACAATACAGTACCTGGGACACCCACCGAGGTGCACGCCAGCTGCTACCCCCGCGTCAGCAGAGGCCTCAGAGTCCCGCTCGTTCCCCAGGCAATCTTACCTCGCGCTTGTAGTTTGGGATGCTTCTTCAGGCAGTGCATGCAGACATCGACGTGCGATGCAATGGTGGCGCACTCTGGGCAGCGACCGTGCTCTCCTCAAAGACGGGCCTGCCCCCTAAGGGGGCGGATCACACGGGAGAGTACGGCACGAGCGTACGGCCAGCAGTTTCTTCCCTCAACTCGCACTTAGTTTTTCCGCCATCAGTCACACAGGGCAAGGCTTGCAGCTCTCATCTCAAGAGCTCCGCGGTATCTTCAGTGGACCCCCCTCCTTCCTCCTCCATGTCATCCTCCCTCCTCCCTCCCTCTCCCTCCCCCAGCGCGCTGCTCAGCAGCAACAAGGCGGTTCGACCGCCCACGGCCATTTTGGCCCTCCGTCCAGCTCCTCCTCTCTCCTCACGGTCTACTTAATTTGGGTAGGCATTCCTAGGCCAGATACTCTTTTCTAGCCCTGCACTGCTCTCTGCCTCGAGGGCTGCCCTGCTATGGGCAACGAAGCAGGGCCCCGCTGATGTCTCTCTTCGCACGGCGCTGCAAACTCCTCCTCTCTCGTATATGATTCCTCTCTTCCCCTCCCGCAGCGCCAATACCTCTCTCCCGACAGTTTTCGGGACGAGAGCGGAAGCAGCTCAGCGTCCATGCTCTCGGGCCTCTCGTGTGCAGCCTGTGCCAGTCCTGTTGGCCGCTGCGCTCAAGCTACTTGCAACGAGCTTAGTACAGTCAAAGCCTCTCTCCTCCCTGCTTCTCCCTCCCCCCTTTTCCCCCCACCTCCTCTCTCCGCCTCCGCCCTGGCCGCCTCCACCCTCTTCCTCCGCTTCCTCCCTCATCCCTCCTCCGTCCAGTTCCGCCCCCGCCTTCTCCTCCATGTCCTCCGTCCTCCGCCCTTCTCCTCCGCCACCTCTTTCCTCCAACTCCCCTTCGTACTCGTCATCCCCCTCGTCCTCCTCCCCCTCCCCTTCCTCCGCATCCGCCCTCCTCGTATTCGCCCTCCCCCTCCTCCACCTCCTCCTCCGCCTACTCCTGTGCCGAAGTGGGTCGCGCGGACGCATGTCAATCCTGCGTCTGGGGCCTTCGGTGAGGCTCCCTTCAGGGCCGCGAAGCGTGCGAGAGGTGTGCCGATATTTGTAACGTGGGCGCATGTCAACCCTGCCGCTAAGGCCTTCGGTGGAGCTCCCCACGGGGCCACGAACCGTGTGAACGGCGAGCGGTCAAGGGTCGCCGGACGCACGTACACCCTGCCACTGGGGCCTTCGGTGGAGTTCCCTGTAGGACCGCGACGCGCGTGAGGGGCGTGCCGAAATTGGTCGCGCGCGGACTTTGCCACTGGCGCCTTCGGTGGAGCTCCCTATGGGTCCACGACGCGCGTGAGAGGTGCACCGAAATAGACAGGAGGGCAGAGGCAGGGATGGGCGGAGGGAGGGGGCAGCGGGAGGAAGGGGGGATGAAGGAGAACGCAGGGCGCTGTCTCTTCAAAACGAGGGCCCACCACGAAATGGTCGTGGACAGCTGCGATACCGTGAAACCGACTGGAAGAACTCTCGGCGGGCCGCCGGGCCCGAGCAGACAGAAAACAAGCACGGTGCCCCCTGAGGCCCCTTCCAGAGGGCCCAAACTGGGGCCCGCCATCCAGGGCCGAGGGAATAGAGGTCTCATGGCCGCGCTCCCCGACCCTCGAGGCAGCCCCGCACCGGAGAGGCAGACAAACGAGATTCCCCGCCCACCCCGTCCAACCCTTCCACGCCCCCTTCATCCAGTGCGCCAGGCTCGGTCCACGTCGGCAGCGCGATGCCCGCCCCCCACCCCCGCTCGGTGATGCAGCGACGGGTTTGGGTCGCGAAGACTTTTCTTCCCAGCGGCGCCATAGCGGTCGCGGTGAGGGACCACCCCTTGCGCACCCTCTATGGCGTCGAGAAAGTGCAACGCCTGCCACGCGCTCCGACCCTGGCACGCACAGAGGCCGCGTTGAGAGACCACCCCTTGCCTGCCGTGCCCTGCGCGCTAGCCCTGCGTGCTCTGCTGTGCTGAGCTGTGGTGTGCTGTGCTGTGCTGTGCTGAGCTGAGCTGAGCTCCTCCTCCTCCTCCTCCTCCTCCTCCTCCTCCTCCTCCACCTCCTCCCCCCCCTCCTCCTCCTCCTCCTCCTCCTCCTCCTCCTCCTCCTCCTCCTCCTCCTCCTCCTCCTCCTCCTCTTCCCCCTTCTTCTCCTCCTCCTCCACCTTCTCCCGCCTCCTTCTCTCGGCCCCCTTCCCTTCTCTCTCCCCCCCCCCTTGGCAGGGCCGCGCGCCTCCAACGCGGGCGCGTCTGCGGCCGCCGCTGCGGGCGGCCGCAGGGGTGGCGGCAGCGCGCCCTGCGGCGAGGGGCTCCTCCCGTACATGGACATTGTGTTCGAGCCCTGTGGCCCAAGATGCCAACCGGACCCCCCCGAAATTGATGTTAAGGGCTTCAAGCAGGAGGGGGCGTGAGTGGACAGAAATATTCGAACCAACAAAGCACCACCTTACTGAGATCAGCATTGATTTCGGGGGCGGGGGGGATAATCAGAAATCCCCTCGAACATGTAAGGGTTCGAATAGGTTGTTCATCCACTGTCCCCCCCCCCCCTGCCTTTCACGCGAGGCACTGCCACCTGATCATCTGCATCCCTCCTTGCTCCTCCCGCTCCTCCTCCTCCTCCTCCTCCTCCTCCTCCTCCTCCTCCTCCGCCTCCTCCTCCTCCTCCTCCTCTTCCAACTTCTCCTCCTCCTCCTCCTCCTCCTCATCTCCCCTCCTCCTCCTCCTCCTCCTCCTCCCCTCCTCCTCCTCCTCCTCCTCCTCCTCCTCTTCCTCCTCCTCCTCCCTCCTCCTCCTCCTCCCTCCTCCCTCTCTCCTCCTCCTCCTCCTCCTCCTCCTCCTTCTTCTCCTCCTCCTCCTCCTCCTCCTCCTCCTCCCTCCTCCTCCTCCTCCTCCTCCTCCTCCTCCTCCTCTCCTCCTCCTCCTCTCCTCCTCCTCCCTCCTCCTCCCACTCCTCCTCCTCCTCCTCCTCCTCCTCCTCCTCCTCCTCCTCCACCTCCTCCTCCTCCCTCCTCCTCCTCCTCCTCCTCCTCCTCCCCCTCCTCCTCCTCCTCCTCCCCTCCTCCTCCTCCTCCTCCTCCTCCTCCTCCCCCTCCTCCTCCTCATCCTCCTCCTCCTCCTCCTCCTCCTCCTCCTCCTCCTCCTCCTCCTCCTCCTCCTCCTCCCCATCTCCTCCCCATCTCCCCTCCTCCTCCTCTTCCTGTTCCTCCTCCTCCTCCTCTCCTTCTCCTCCACCCTCTCCTCCTCCTCCTCCTCCTCCTCCTCCTCTCCTCCTCCTCCTCCTCCTATCCTTCTCCTCTCCTCCTCCTCCTCCTCCTCCTCCTCCTCCTCCTCCTCCTCCTCCTCCTCCTCCTCCTCCTCGGCTCCGTGCGCCAACGCCTGCCACTTCGCGTCATTCCCCGCTGCGAGTTCAGCCCACAGTGCCTGCGCACGCCACAGCGACTATGAACAAAGCAGCGTTCACGTACTCCACAACGCCCGTGTGCGCCTTCAGTGCTCGTATACACCACAGCGCTGGCAGCTACGAGCGCCGCGCTCCGACCGCCGCGCCAATGCCTCGCAGCAACAGAACAACACTGGGTCCCTGAGAGCACCACGCGGCACGCACGCAAGCGCCGCTTTCCATCGCGAGTGCCACAGCGTCCCTGTGAGCACAACAACATGCGACTGAACACCACAGCAGCCTGCGAGCGCCACAAAACGTCCGCTGTCGCCACCGGACGACCGCCGCGACGTGAACAGAGGGAAGGGCGGGGCGGGGCTGGTCACGCCCGTGATCGCCCGGGGCTTTTCCGAACGGGCTCCTGGCATGACAGCCGCCTCCAGCGGTCAGCCCCGAACAGGGCATTCCTAGAAGATACTTGGCATACTGTCGGACTTGATTTGACAGGACGCGCGAGAGGATACAAGACTCTTCCGAGGGCCACATCGCGGTAGGAATGTAAGAAGACATGGGTCGCGAGGCACAGGACGCAAGAGTACCCTTGAGCTGATAGGGTCGACCTACTAATCAAGACCGAGTGCAGGCATCTTCGACAGAGGAGATCGGACGATGGCATCATCTTGAGGATTGTGGCTGCACGTGGGAGAACTGCCAGTCATCATTCGACTCAATCTATTCACCAGTCAATGTTCCAGCATATGTCTACAATCGGATATGCGAAACTTGTGGTACGTTCAAATCTTCGGAAATGCAAGATTGTCGTGCCTGCGTGTCCGACCTACGGGCTCCTTGACAGAGTGGCCGTGGCAGGTCATCCATGCGCAGTGGAAATGTACTAAGTCGGCACCAGCACACGGCACGACTGGGAATCCTAGGGTTCAAAGCCAGCAGCAGCAAAGGAAACCTGCTTCGAGGCGTCGAAGGCAACGGTCGGCACGTGTCGCTTGCAGACGAACTCGAAGAACAGTCCAGTTCTCAGGCCCAGAACCTCGAACCCTTGGCTATTCTTCCGGCGCTGCCAGTACATGCTACTTCATATACGAGGTCCCCAAGTACTTCACCCGAAGAGGACACGCATTCGAACAGGAAGCATGGCGCGTTGCAGGCAGGAGATCAAAGTCTTTGCGACAACGATCAGGATGAAGGCATCCGTAAGAGACTTGACTGACGACGAGCACGAGTGTGGTATGCTGTGCTCCTCGCGGCAATCCACCTGTGCCGGCCTTGGGATTAGCAGAGAGAAAGACAGCGAGCAACACTGCAGCGAGCTCAGATACGACCATCATCTCAGAACGAAGCTATTCGAACCAAAGAAGCCGAACTCGATCACCTTCGAGGCCAGGTGGATCAGACAGAATAGTGGGGCTACCGTGATCAGCAGGCCCTGACGGAGATAGAGGCATCACCCAAGTCTCCGCGCCCAGAGCCACAGCGGGCGCCCGCCGACGAAGACGAGTTGATGGATGGAGAGGAGACGCTCATGGCCCATGCACCTCGTGCCTGGTCACATGCCACAGGACGTGCGTCGGCCCAAGTCGTTCATGCAGCTGTTGCACCACCAGCCCCAGCAGTCCAGCCTCATCAGGTAGCACACTTGGCAGCTATCCAGACACAGATTGGATCGCTTTCGAGCTCGCCCACATCTTACCAAACAAATGGATTACAACGTCACGTCCTTGAGCACACAGCTCAATTCTCTGAGCACTCGGCATGAGGCTTTGCTTGCACCAGTGAGGACGCTACCGACAGGCCTCCACCTCACCTCCTGCAGCCCATTTCCCCCACTGGACAACTAGCTGCTGCTGCTGCTGCTGGCTCTAGGAAACCTGGAGGCATGCAGGCGGAGTCATGCAGGGGATGCTCAGCGCATTCAGGCGACGTGCCAGCCAGTGGACAATTCTCGCTCACCAAGGGCACCCATGTCAAGAGGGAGATGGGCAGCAGCAGCAACACCAGCATGCCCAGATCTCGGCTGGCGACTGAGGTCCAGTTCCAGAAGACCAGGGCCAGAAGGGGTAGCCTCGATGCCCGCCCCGATCCCGATTGACCTAATTGATCTGGATCCTGAGGGCCAGAACGCCACAATAAGGTCCAGCTGTGTTTGGTGCTCAGGTCTGCTACAAGGCATGAAAGCACCATGGTGATGGGCACATCCGTCCTCATGGAAGGACTTCGAGCGATTCTTGCTCCCTTGCTCTGTTGAATTTCTTCGCTCTCTACTTCCACACCCCCACGTGTGAGCCACGTCCCTTGCGTGCGTCTGTTGACGCAGATGAGGCAGGGGGGGATGGCCTCGGCTTCCGCAGTGATACTGTTGCACCGCCATGGCCCCTGGCACTACGCTGGGAACTGTGCGGGTGCTCTTGACCTTGAAGCCTTAGCGCGTCCCAAGGCTCATGCATGTCTGGTCGCTGAAGCGGCAGCCGTGCTTGGGGCCGCATGCTGGGCCATCCAGCTTCAGTTCGCGTCGTTGAGGCTTCGCGTGGACAGTCTCGCTCATCCCTGCTGCGCCAGGCGAGGGCGGCATGCCCGAAGCCTCGGGGATTGCCAAGTGCTTACGGTCGCCCGCACGCTGCTTGCAGCGCTGCATGGAGGCTGGTTTTCGTCATGTTAGATCCCACCCAGGAGACCCCATGCATGAAATGTCTGACACGTTGGCGGCACTGGCCGCGCTCGGGTTTCGAGGGAACTCAGCCTAAACTGCCCCTTGAAGAAGCAAGTGCTGGCACCCAGCTAGACTCGCTCCTACAACCCCACTTCGGGGAAACATCCCCCCTGCGAGTCTCGGGGACCTACTGACCCGGGTCAATCCGAACCCGGGACAGTCCAGCCTTGCAGGATCCTGCCAGATCCTGCAGGATCCTGCAGCCGAGCCCGGATCAATGAGACCCTGGCCCTGCAGAATCCTGCAAGATGGCGCTCTGACTGACCCTCGTTTGCACTGACCCCCGCATCGAGGCCCCCTGCGAGTCTCCGAATCTGGGTGGCCCGGAAGCGCCCGACGTCGACCACCAACACCACCACGACCGCCCCACCTGCGGCGGCGGGCGCGGCTGGGCGTGCGGCGGGCTGCCCTCGGCGTCCCTGCGGCCGCCGCCGCCGCCGGGGGTGCTGGACCGCTGGGGGCTCACGCCGACTGGCCGGCGCTCGCGGTAGAACTGGCGGAGCTCCTCTGGGGCGGGGGGGCTCGCTGGCAGGCGGACTGAAAGGGGTGGCGAAGGAGGAGGCAGGGGCGAGGGGGCAAGGACGCTGGAGGGTGGAGGGAGAGGAGGAGGAGGATGAGAAATGGGAAGAGGTCCCGCCATCCCTCTTCCCTCGCCCGCTTCTCAAATTACCCTGGCCAAGAACCCAACCAATTGTAAACGCGTGGTGGATAATAGCAGGAACGCTTAATGCACATGGAAAACTGAGGGATCTGCAGCAATTACCCAAAAACACTTCGCCAAGAAACGGGAAATTACTTTCAACGCTGCCCCGATTCACGCACGCTCTCTCACGACTCAAGTCGGACGCAGGAACGTCTGAGGGGCGCGACGAAGTGGGGCCGAGTACGCATGCGAACCCTGCCACTGGAGCCTTCGGTGGAGCTCCCTATGGGGCCATGAAACGTGTGAGGGGAGTGCCGACTTGAACCTGAGGACACATGCGAACCCTGCCACTAGGGCATTCGGCGGAGCTCCCTATGGGGCTACGCAACGTGTGAAGGGTCTGCCGAGATGGGTCCGAATAAGCATGCGAACCCTGCCATTGGAGCCTTCGGCAGAGCTCCCTACGGGGCCCCGAAAGGTGAGAGGTGTGCGGGACAAGAGTACGCATACGAACCCTGCCACTGGAGCCGTCGGTGGAGCTCCCTGTGAGGCCACGAAACGTGTGGAGCCTTCGGTGGAGCTCACTATGGGGCCACGGAACGCAGTGTGTGTGTGTGTGTGCCGGAATGGGCCCGCGTGCGCATGCGAACCCTGTCACTGGAGCCTTCGGCGTAGCTCCGACTGGGGCCCCGAAACGTGTGAGGGGTGTGCCGACATGGGCCCGAGCACGCATGCGAACCCTGCCGCTGGAGCATTCGGCGGCACTAGACGCAGGGGTGGGGGGGATGAGGAGGAGAGAAGACGGGCGGAGGGGCGACGAGGACAGGGACGGGGAGAATGGTAGGGAGGGAGAGGGCGAGCGTGCATGAGAAGGAGAACGAAGGACGGAGAAGGAGGAGAGGAGGAGAGGAGCCACCGCGGAGCAAGGCTCAGAGAGGAGGGACATCCGGCAGCACAGGGGGCCGGACCTGGAAGCCGGACTGTCCATCGGGGCCCTCCCTGGGTGCCTCCGTGGCCTCGGTCAGCGAGCACACCCGCAGCCCCCTGAGGGCGCCCCCGCCTGGGACCTGAGCCTCGGCTGGCCCGGCTCTGGCTCTGGCTGTGGGGAGCAGCTGGGCACGATCTGTTGCACCCGCCCCTGCTCTCGGGGATTGCGTCAGCTGCGGCGTGCGGCGGCGAGCCCAGCGGGGGCAAGCGCGAGGGGGCAGGCCCTCTCAGCGGGCGGCGGGGCTTCTCGGAGGCCCTGGCGCCCTCGAAGGAGCCGCCCGTGGCTTCGGAGAAAAGCTGCAGAGCGCCACAGCCGGCGCGAGGGCTTCTGAGAAGCCCCGCCGCCCCCTGAGAAGGCCTGCCCCCCTCCCTTCTCCCGTGTGCTGGTTGCCGACCCTGTCATTTTCGGAGGTCCGCGCGGAGTTCTTGCATCGGCGCGCCAGGGGCGGCGCTGGAGGCGCCGCCAGAGGGGCCCAACACCGATCCAAGATGTTCGCGGGGCCCTCCCAAGAATAATGGTTATGCAGTTGCTCGTTCTTCGAAGGTCGGCCTTCCCGACCCCCGCTGGTCTCGCCGCCGAATGCTCGCTTCCGTCGCCCTCGCCGCGGGCCGACCAGCGCCGCCAGGGGCGAGGGAACACGAGGGAGGAGGCGCCTCCTGCGTGGTTGGAGGAGGCAGCGCTCGCGGGGAGACGGCTGCGCCACCAGGAGCGGCTGGAACGCACCCACGGGGCCGCCTCCGCCCCACCTCATCCGTCTCCCCTCCCGCCTCCTCCCCACCTCCTCCCGCCTCCCGCCGCCGCCGCCTACCCCTCCTCCTCCTCCTCCTCGTCCTCTTCGTCCGCCTCCTCCTCGTCCTCCTCCTCCGCCTCCTCCTCCTCCTCCGCCTCCTCCTCCTCCCGCCTCCCGCCTCCTCCTCCTCCTCCTCCTCCTCCCCTCCTCCTCCTCCTCCTTCTCCTCCTCCAGCTCCTCCAGCTCCTCCTCCTCCTCCAGCTCCTCCTCCTCCTCCTCCTCCTCCTCCTCCTCCCGCCTCTTCCTCCTCCCGCCTCCTCCGCCTCCGGCTCCTGATCCCACCAGCCCTTTTGGGCCAGGGTGGTTTAGCGAGTTCATTCTTTCCTCGTCCAAGCACCCTCTTCCCTTCGGGGAGGCGTGCCTTCCCCCTCCTCTCCCTGGGTTTGTGGCGCGGGCCGCCAAGTGTTATGGCGCCCAAGATGGCTCGAAAAGGGCCTCCGATGATACAAGATGGCCTCCAAGATGGCTCAATATACAGTGCGAGCGCGGCCGCAAGAAACCCTCGCAAGAAACCCAACCCTGAGAACCCGTGCAGGAAGTGCACCTGAGGGGAAACCCGGAGCACCCTGAACGTAGCAGCTCCTTCAACGGCTGCGGGAAGTCACCGCGCAGCGCGAGGAGCGAAGAAACCCAGTACACCCTGACGAAATGATGCGCGCCCCACCTGCAGCCGGCGATGGTTCAATATAGCTTCCGACATACCTCCAAGAGGCCAGACGCGGGCCACAAGATGGTCCCAAATGCTCTCGGAGCGCCCCCATTAACCACCGAAGAGGCCAAACTCCTGCAAAAGCACGAGGACAACAAATGATTTATGACGTCTCACCTTTTCGCTACCGATGCGCTTCCGAGGCCTCGAGATGGCCCCGAGAGCGCCCACGAGCGGACCCAGAGCGCCCCAGCAGGGCCCAGAGCGGCGATTTCTTCGCCAGACGGAGCAAGGGAGGAGGTCACCCATCAGGGCGTGGGGAGAGATGATGCCGAACTCGAAAGCACAGCTGCGGCGGCACTTTCGGATTACCCTACGATGTCTACGCCGAGCGTTTGAAGGATCTTTCGGCCAAACTGCGCCTGTCACGGTTTCCACCGGCGGGTCAATCAGGCCAACCCAGAAAAAACATGTTATTGTAACGGTCTTGAGTCAAAACTGGCGACTTTCACGGTTTCCGCAGGCGGGTCGCTCAAGCCAGGCGGACAAGGCAATTACACACGGGGGGGCGACAACCGGAAGAAGGCAGCCGGACCCCCCCAAGAGGCGATTTCGATGGACCTGGGGGAGGGGGGGCAAGGCAAATCGAGGACTCCCCCCTTTTGATCGAATGACCTCAAAGATGGTCCTAACAGGCCATCCTGGGCTTCCAAGGGACCCCCAAGAGGGCCCCAACAGGCCCCCAAGCGAGCCCCAAGACCCTTCAAAAGAGCTCAAAGAGGATCCCAAGATCCCCCAACCAGGGTCCAAAGAGGGCTCAAAGAGGCGATTTTGAGGGCGATGTCCTCGTCCTCGTTGTCCTCCTCCTCCTCCTCCTCCTCCTCCTTCTCCTCCTCCTCCTCCTCCTCCTCCTCCTCCTCCTCATCATCATCATCATCATCATCATCACCATCATCATCATCATCATCACCATCATCATCATCATCATCATCAGCAGCAGCAGCAGCAGCAGCAGCATCATCATCATCATCGTCATCATCATCATCATCATCATCATCATCATCATCATCATCATCAGCATCATCATCATCATGACCATCATCCATCATGACCATCATCATCATCATCATCATTATCATCATCAGCATCATCATCCTCATTGACGATGTTGTTGGTGTTGATTTCTTGTTCCTTTTCCTCTTCCTCCTCCTCCTCGTCCTCGTCCTCGAAGTCGTCGTCGTCCTCCTCCTCCTCCTCCTTCCCTCGCCCCGACGCGGGCCCCAGGAATGCCCCGCAGAGGCCCTCTTAGACCTCCGCCTTGCCCGCCTCGTTTCACTGTATGAATCGTTTCCTCCCCTTTCCCACCACCTTTCATGGGCGGGTGGGGGTACACGAAGCGTGGACATTCCCTCCTCTCTCCTCTCTCTACTCTCTCCTCCATCCTCCTCTCCCCCCTTCTCATCATCCTCCCCCCCTCCTCCTACTCCTCCTCATCATCCCCGGCCCCCCCCTATCGCCCCCTCAATCTCATCCTTCTCACCGTGCTCGTCCGCTTCATCGCACGTGCTCCTTCTCCTTGCCTGATGATGAGGAGGAGGAACAGGAGAACACCGCCTTGGGCTCGAGGTGGAGAAGTTAGGACAACGCAAAAAAACAGCAGGACGAGCGGGACGGCGCAACCGGATACCACCCTCCCCCTCCGCCCGTCCGCCGTCTCCTCCCCGATGAGAAACCACCGTCTCGCACGCGAGGGGGAGGAGGGAGACACCGTCTCCTCCCCACTCCGCCTTCTCCCTTGGATGACTCCTCCTCCTCATCCTTGCGCAGATCCTCCTGGATGAGATGTCCACGCGTTCGGTTTACCAATCACGTTGTCTGCTCCGCGACGTCATCCCACGAACCGCTCCTAGGTGTACGGAGCAACCTGTAAGCTGGGAGCATGGACTCCTGCAGAAGGACCTGCGCGAGGAGGAGGAGGAGGAGGAGGAGGAGGAGAAGCCAGCACGGAGCAAGGAGCAGCACGGAGCGGACAGTGGCGACGCGACACCGCCGTCGGCTTGCACTGGACCAAGACGTGTCGGCGGGCCGCCCCCCCACAAGGCATCGAGGTGCAACGTCGTTCCGAGATCGCCGAGAGCACGGCAGCCCTGATCGTTTCGAATCTTCGGGTCCTCCCAAGTTTTTTTTTTGATTTTCCTTCCTTCGGGTCCTCCCAAGTGATCTCGCGGTCGTCATTGCGATCGGCGCCCTGGAAGAACTCCATGACCGCCTTCCGGGAGGCGCCCTCCTGGTGGATCTCCGACGGCAGGCCAAAGAAGGCCGCGACCTCAGGGCGCCGGCGGCAGGCCTTGATGAGCTCCCTCAGATTGATGGTGCCTGAGGCTGGCATTCGGTCGGGCATGTCATGTCCTCCTACAGGCGGATTTGGGAGGACAAATAAGACACAGTCCAACAACAGTCAAACTCGGCCAACACATGATAGGCCAATCGCCCCCATATCATATGTGCCAATTTTGGAATATTCCTCCCGTAGATGGACACGCCTGACTTAAGGCTGGCAGTGGCACGAAGCCGAGCGATTGCCCCGCCCCCCCCCCCCCCACAGGGAGGAGGGGAGACGACTGGAGGCGCAGTGGAGAGAGAGGAGCCCCACCGAGCCACATCGCGGAGACCTTCGACGGGCTGGAGCAGCCCAGACGCAGCGGGTTCCCCGCGTCCCCCGCGGGGACCTCCGAGCCCTCCGCAGGCTTGAGCGACACGGCTCGAAGGTGCCTTCGAGCCGAATCGCTTCGACCGCACCAACGCGGCACTGCGAATGCACATCCCCCCTATCTTATCACTTCTCCTCCTCTCCCTCATTCTCCCCTCCCTCCTCCTCCTCCTCCTCCTCCTCCTCCTCCTCCTCCTCCTCCTCCTCCTCCTCCTCCTCATCCTCATCATCATCATCATCATCATCATCATCATCCTGGTCGGACAGTCTTCCCGGGCCCTGGCTGCCGTCGCCGTTGGCGTCGCAGGCCCGGAACACGTCCCGCAGCGACCGGAGGTCCTCGGCGTCGACCGCCTCCCCGTCGCTGGAGCCGCCTGCCTCGTGGCCAGCGAGGGGGCGCGGAGGCCGCCAAGAGGGGAGGGATGCGAAGAGCCTGGGGGAGAGGGCGGGAGGAAGGAGGAAGGAGGGAGGAGGAGGAGGGAGGAAGAGGAGGAGGAGGAGAATGAGGAGGAGGAGGAGGAGGAGGCGGAGGAGGAGGGAGGAGGGAGGAGGGAGGAGCGAGGAGCGAGGAGGAGGAGGAGGAGGAGGAGGAGGAGGAGGAGGAGAAGGAGGAGGGAGGAGGGTGGATGAGGAGGAGGAGGAGGAGGAGGAAGAGGAGGAGGAGGAGACTCGGAAAAGGAAGCGGGAACAGGCGGACCCAGGGCGGGGGAGATAAGGCCTAGAAGTGGCGCGGACCCCTGGGCCCATCCCGAAGAGAAAGGCGCCCCGAAGGCCCCGCAGGGGCCAGGGCCAGCCCGATCAAAAAAGGAAGCGCTGGCCGAAGAGGCGTGCGGTGGAATGCACGTGAGAACATTCGGACTGCTGGCAGTGGCGCCAGCTGCCACAGGTTTGCTCCAGCCTGCGGCGACAGAAACGGAACCACCCAGACGAGCAACTCCAGGGCACGGCGGCTGCAAATACTGCGCAGTCACGCTCGCAGCATGCCCTCCATGCGGCGCGTCGGAGTTGCGGCAGAACACCTCCTCGCCCCCCCGCCTCACTTTCCCGAACGTCCAACAGAGACACGCGCGTCCTCCTCCTTCTTGGATTCCTTCCTGGGGGGACGACCCGCCACTTGGCGCGCACTCGAGCGCGGGAAGGCCGCCAGAGTCCACCCGGCCAGCCTCGCGGACAGCGAAGGATCTGGCAGCACGACGAAATGGTTGCATCGCGTGGCACCTGTGGTCACTGGCTCCGTCGGCGATTTATGGGCTCCTCGAGCGGCGCAGGTATCTCCTCGGCTGGGCCCTCCGCCCTGACCGCTGAGATTGGCTGAATCGCTGGAGTCGCACATCCCGCCAACTGGTGTCCCTGGCTCCGGCAGGGCATGGCCAGCCAGAGAGAGCTGCTCCGTCGGCACCGGGACAGGCTCGCGGCTCCTCCAACGATCTCGCTGGGCGGGCTTCCACCCATGCGAAAGTGGATTCGCCAAAGACTTCCCCGCACTTCGGACGCAGCTGCTCAAGGACGCCAAGACAATCATCGCCACACATGAGTCCGCGGAGGCACCAAAGAAGGCCGCCCCAGTCGCCCTACTCATCACAGACGAGGCCGGGCAAGCGCACGAGCTGATGGCCGCCATGCCCCTGGACTCGGGAGGCGGCCCCCCGGGCGCGTCGGCGGGGGAGGGAGAGGGGGGGGGGGCGGGGCGGGGGACTGCGGGGCCGGTGTCGGGGCTGGAGCGCGCTGCCTGCGCCCCCGAGCCGAGGCCCGACGGCGTGCCGAAGGGCGCGAGGCGCTCGCCGTCGGGCGCCCCAGCTGCCCCAGTCCCCTGGCGCCCCCACGGCCTGCTGGTCAGCCTGCGCCTGCAACAGCTTCTTGGCTTGACCGCCGAAGTGCACCACTGGCCATCGCTCGGGCGTCCATTCCCTGTGGTTTTTTGGGGGGTTTCGTGCGTGGTCTTGTTCGCCAAATGATCGAGGATGCTCCTCGATGGTCCTCGCCGAAGGAAAAATGCACACGTCAGAGCGATGCCAAGAGTAGCGCGCCTCGGCGATCGCCGCCTCGGTGGCCCGCGTCGGCGGGGCGCGCCCTGCCGGCGGCCGCGGAGGCGGCCCAGCCCATGGGCGCCCGGGAGGCCCCCCGTCCCCGCCGGCAGGGGCTGGGCCGCCCGCTGGGGCTGCAGGCGCCTGCGGCGCGGAGGGCGGCAGCTGCGGCGGCGGTGCACGCCGCGAGCCAGCCAGCCCCGCCCCCAGCGGCCGCTGGCGGATAGGCGCCAGGGGTGTCGGTGCTTTCCTCGTCCTGGTTGTGCTCCTCCAGCTCTGATGGCCATGATCGCCGACTCAGCCCCTGCCAGCATAGCCATCCGACCCCTGGTGCTCCGCAGGTGCTCCTGGATCTTCTCCTTCCGCACGCGCATGTCGCTGATCTGTTGGCCTGCAGGTGAGGTTTGGCCGGGCGTCTCTTTGACCGCACTGATCCGAAACTCGCACCTGGCGGCTTCGTCGGACTCGTCGGCCCTCTTGGCAGCCGGGCGCATCTCGGCGAGCTCCCGCATGCCATTCTGCCCCTGCTCCTGGAACCTTTTTCTTCGCAGCGCGATCTGATGGCGGCTCCACGCAGTCGACGTAATTGACGGCCTCGCTCCTGAGCGGCGGCACGATCCTGGACACGAGCGTTTTGACAGCCTGGCCTGCCCCGCGAGAGGGTGCCCGACTTGGCCCCCCAGCCGGGCCCGCCACGCGGCCGACTGCGGCCACGCTTCCCTGCCTGCCGATGGTCGGTTATTCTGCCACGGCGATGCGGCGGGGCGGCCTGCGCGCGGCCGGCGCCCATGGCACGGCGGCTGCCGTAAGCGGTCCGAGCTCAACTTGCCACGACGACACTGAACAGGAAGCTTCGCAGACCTGCCGCTCGGCATGGTTCACCATGGCCCTGCTGAGCGGCGGGGGGACATACTGGGAGCTTGCTCGAAACAACGGTGGCCGCGAAAGATGCTTGCTCCTGGCTGGGAAGCCGTCTTGGTAGCAGCGGAAAGGGAAAAACACTCTGATGCTGCCTCGAACAGATGTTTATTTGAACCCAAATGGTCTGAGCCAACGTGGCTACGGAGGCTGCTCCTCCTCCTCCTCCTCCTCCTCCTCCTCCTCCTCCCGCTCCTCCCCCCTCCTCCTCCTCCTCCTCCTCCTCCTCCTCCTCCTCCTCCTCCTCCCTCCTCCTCCTCCTCCTCCTCCTCCTCCTCCTCCTCCTCCTCCTCCTCCTCCTCCTCCTCCTCCTCCTCCCCTCCTCCTCCTCCTCCTCCTCCTCCTCCTCCTCCTCCTCCTCCTCCTCCTCCTCCTCCTCCCCCGCCCCACGTGCCGCTGGGGCGGGCCAGGCGCTGCACCTGGGAGATTTCGCCGTGCGGCCCCGCAGCCTGCAATTCGCAGCGGCGCCGCGGATGGACGGGGCTCAACACCGGGGGGTTTTCCCCACAAGGAGGAGGAGGAGGAGGAGGAGGAGGAGGAGGAGGAGGAGGAGGAGGAGGAGGGAGGAGGAGGAGGAGGAGGAGGAGGAGGAGGAGGAGGAGGAGGAGGAGCGGCGGCAAGGATGGAACATAGGTCGTGCTTCAAGCGGGCTCTCGCCTCAGCACCGCGCGCATTCGCCTCGCAAGCGTAGAAAACCTACAGGGACGGAGGCCTGCTCGTTTGCGACATGCGGCTTTCGCCTGAGATTTCTGTGCACCTGGGGACCAGGCGCTTCAACAGATGCACCAGCTACACGAAAAGAGATCACGGGGGAATCCTTAATGCCAAACCCAAGAATCGTCAGAACCGAAGACGTGGACTCACCGGGAAAAAATGAAGGGGGGTCGTAAAACTGACGCAAACATCCCCCTGATCACTAAGAGGGGGTCACGAAAAACTGACGACCGTCACCTGGGGAACACCAACGAGGATCTTTTTCCAGAAGGGGGCGGCTCCCTTCTTCCAACAGGGGACTCGCGCTTGAGACTTCCCTGCGCTCCACGACCGTGCAGTACTTTCACGGATGCGGGCGGCGTCTTGTCAAAGCGCAGAGCTCGCTGGACACCTCGCTGCACTGCATGACTCCACCTTCTCGCATTCCCGACTGCAGTGGGAGCTCGATCACGAGAAACCATCCACACCAGAAATCCCATCCCAAGACCCAAGGGCGCCCCTGGATACATGGCGCAACAACAAATCAGACGCGAACTTCCGAGACAGCATCAAGATCGTAGAAGATAGAACCCTCGCCGCCCCGAGAGACCTGCCCTTCGGAGAGAGGCGCAGACCAGAACGAGTCCGGCAAGACGTCCCCGTCGACGTCCACCGGAAACGCAGCCCAGACTGCCACGCGAAGGCCTGGCCAGAGAACCTCGAAGCCAAACCCAACATCATACGTGCAACTCCCAGGTGGGACCACCAGCCCTCCTCTCAGCCAGTTGGTCCTGTGTGTGAGGGTCGTCCCTCAGCCTCTGGGCCCTCCTGGCGAACCTGGCCAGGTCTGGGGCACTCCTCTGCCGAGAAGTGGTCTGCCCTCCGGCCGCCTTGCTCACAGCAGGGTCCAGACACATCGTCTTTGCACCTGGTGCGCATCACACTTGGAAATCCGATAGAACACGATGCCAACTCTACCATGGCATGACGTGCATTGGTCTGGCACGTCTGGAGTGATGACATCTTGCCTCGAGTCCAGAATGTATTGCTGCTCGTGGCCTGCAGCGTGCTCTCCTGGTGATCGTTCCAGCTGGGAGTTCCCCGCCTGGCACATCAGCTCGTGTGTTGCCCAAAAGACAGGCCCATCACGGAACCGAAAGCTCGGCTGCATGGTCTGCTCGGCTAACTCGATGGCTCTCCTGTCCCCTGCTTTGGTATGTGCTCGAGAAGCTTTGGCGAAACCTTGTCCGACTGCCATTGCCGACCAAGATCATCTCGCACACGACTGTCGGGGCTTGAGCGCCCAGCCGATGCCAGCGAGACTGAGCATGCGCGCCTCCACGAGTTGCTTGGTAGCCTTCCCAAAGGGATGCCATCCTCATCACTCCCAGGCCGTCCTCGTAGCCTGCGCGCATCATATCATGCGGCAGCGTCTTGGCCCACTTGACAGCCACAACTTCCTTCAGCGAATACGAGGTGACGATTCTGAGCGGGTCCCGCTCATGCAGCTACTCTGCTCCTCCTCCTCCTCCTCCTCCTCCTCATCATCATCATCAGCATCAGCATCAGCATCAGCATCAGCATCAGCATCAGCATCAGCATCAGCATCAGCATCAGCATCGTCATCATCATCATCATCATCATCATCATCATCATCATCATCATCATCATCATCATCATCATCATCATCATCATCATCATCATCATCATCATCATCATCATCATCACCATCATCATCATCATCATCATCATCATCATCATCATCATCATCATCATCATCCTCTCCCCCGTCCAAGTCCCAGTCGTCTTGGCTCACGCGCAGGAGGCGCCTCTGAACATCTGCGATTTGACGCCAGAGCGGCTTGCTCACGAGGGCCATGGGCAGGCGGGGGGCCTTCGAGCGAGTGCCGAGCGTGGTGCGAGCATCGGGCGCAGCCGCAGGCTGCCGGTGGGCCGCAGGGAACACCCTGAACAGTCCTGGAAGACCTGAGGCCCATGGCGGCGGTTGGCAGCGTGGGCGTGGAAGCACAGGGCATGGAGCACAAAGACACGAGCCTTTCGCGGAGCTGTGCCATGACATGGACGGCCAGTGACCATGCAGGCAGACGGCTCGCCCGGGCATCGTGAGGGCCCGACGCAGGAGCTGATCATGAAGAGCCCGAACTCGGAAGGGACCAAGCTGCGGGTGGACACCTACAACGGCGCGAACCTGTCCTTCGGCGCGGCTCCGTACGAGGCAGAAGACCAGGAGAGTCGGAAGCCCGTGGGCCTCTCCAGCGTGCAGCACTGCTAGACTGCCGAAGAGCGCACGGACTTGGACCCTTTCAGTTTGCAAGGCTCGCCGAGCGACACGTTTGAGTGCGAAGTGGCATCGGCGGCCACTCCAACGAGCACTCGGGGGTGACAAAGCTGCGGGTGGACACCTACACCGACGTGAACACATCATGCGGCGTGGCTCGGCACGGGAAGGAGGACCAGGAGAGTCAGACGCTCGAGGGCCACCCCAGCGTGTGTAATGTCGACGAGCTGGCTGTGCCCGACTGTCGAGTAGTCTGCGGCTCCGATGAGCAGACGCGGATGACGACCGAAGCTCGCGCAGGTTGCCGCCAGCGCCCCCACATGAGAAACAGAGGAACACCAACCCAATGTTCCGCCTCGCCCCGAACCTGGTCGCGATCTGTTGCGCGAGTCTGTCGCACATCAAGGAGTGGCACGGGCGCAACACTCGCAACTGGATGCGGACCCGGGCAGGCGCAACTGGACTGCCGGACACGAAGGCGGTGGTGTCGGGACGGAGGCAAGATCAAATGGCGGCGTTGCTGGCCATCCTGAGGCCCAGCCATGGAGACTTGGGGCCGCGGCGGCTGCGGCTGGACCCGTTTCTCGGAGGATGTGGAGCCCCCTCGAGATCCCCACGCTGAGTTTGCCCCCCTGGGATGGTCCTGGATGGTGGGCTTATGGCCACGCCCTGGCATCCGTTCGGGTGCTGAAAACTCGCTCGGCATGCCATGGGGCTTCTCATCTCCTGCATCTTCGCCTTCACCTCCTCATTCGCCTCAAGCCTCGCCCTCTTTCCGATCCCCCGCCTCCCTCCCCGCCCATCCCCCGCCCTCTCCACCCACCCATTCCTCTCCCAATTTTTACCCCCCCACCGGCAGCGACAAGGGCTCCTCGACGGGTTGCTGGGCACGCTCGCCACAGTCCAGCTGCTGCGGAGCCTTCCCCTCCCAATCCTATCACCCTCCTCGCCCCTCCTTCCTTTCCCCTTCCCTTCTCCCTTTCCTCCGTCTCCTCCTCCCGCTAGACACCCCCCAACATCCCCATTCCCCCCTGCGCCCCCCTACCTCCTCCGACTGCCAATTCCCAGACAAGGAAGAAGGGGCGAGAAGGGAGAGGGGCGAGGGATCACAAGAGGGCAGGGTGGAAGGCGGAGGAACGAAGCGTAGGACCTAGGATAGGGAGGGACGGGAGGAGAAGAGGGTACACGCACAGGAGAGGCTGGAGCGGGGGAGGGCGGGCAGGGGAGCAAAGGGATGGCGGAAGGGAGGGAGGGCGAGGGAGGGAGGAGAGGGGGAGGGAGGATGGGGAAACGGGAGCGAGGGAGGAGGAGGACGAGGGAGGGGAGAACCATGGAGGGAGGCGGGAGGATGGGGTCGGATGGAAGGCGGAGGAGGGGAGGGGGAGAGGGCTCTTCGGCCTGCTGCCCAGACCGCGGCCCCCCTGCTGGCAGCGCGCCGGGGCTGCGCGCGCCGCGGTCGCAGTGGCACTTCCCTCCGCGGGGCGCAGCCTGGCGCGGCCCGGGAGGAGGGCCGATGATTTGAGGGAGCAGGACGGGGACACGAGGAGAAGGGAGGAGAAGGGTGGAAAAGGAGCGAGGAGGAGGGGGGAGGAGGAGGAGGGGGAGGAGGAGAGGAGGAGGAGGAGGAGGAGGAGGAAGGAGGGGAGGGAGAAGGAGGAGGAGGTAGGAGGAGGAGGAGGAGGGGAGGAGGAGGGAGGAGGGGAGGAGGAGGAGTAGGAAGAGGAAGATTGACAGGAGGAAGGAGGAGGAGGAGGAGGAGGAGGAGGAGGAAGGAGGAGGAGGAGGGGGGAGGAGGAGGAGGAGGAGAGGAGGAGGGAGGAGAGGAGAGGAGAGGAGAGAGGAGAGAGAGGAGGAGGAGGAGGAGGAGAGGAGGGGAGGAGGGGAGGAGGAAAGGAAGGGGAGGAGGGGGAGGAGGAGGAGGAGGAGGAGGAGGAGGGAGGAGGAGGAGGAAGGAGGAAGAGGAGGACGAGGAGGAGGGAGGAGAGGAGGGAAAAGGAGGGGGAGGAGGAGGAAGAGGAGGAGGAGGAGGAGGACGAGGAGGAGGAGGAGGAGGACGAGGAGGAGGAGGCGGGGGAGGCGGAGAGGGCGGAGGGGGAGTTCGGCGCCCTGGGTCGGTCTCCCGAAGGCCGCCCGTGTATTGCACACGCCCAGCCAACGAACTACCGCCCGGATAGCAGCAAAAACTGCGCAGGAAGGGCACGGGGTGTGACCACGTCGCCTGTGAAGACTCGCGGCCCAGCGGTTCCGACATAGTGCGTTGGGAACCAAAGGCATCCCAGCCGGAACAGCTGGCACTGCATACCGAGGAGGAGGGGGAGGAATGGAATGGAAGGACCCGAAGGGAAAGTGCACGGCACCAAAATCGGTCCTGGAAGGGAAAACGGTTACCCCTCCGAGGGCCGTAACAACTAAACGAGTTGGAATTACTTGCCTGCAGAGGCTTCCCTCAAACGAATCCTCTCGACTAGGGCAGCCATTCGCTGCTCATAAGAGTGAACCCCTGAGGCTGAGAAAGACCTGGACACCTCAGTCGAGTCAGAGACCGCAACGGACTCCGAGGGGGCCAACATCTCAACCGTGGGGTAGCGAGGGAGGACGACGCTACGGCCGAGGAGGGCTCTGACCTTACGGTTCGGTGGTTTCCCCTGGGCATAGCGGTTTATATCCTCATGACCTTTCTTTGTGGGGTGTTGACCAGGATTGAGACTCTGCTTAGCAAGCTTTAGGGCCCTACCCTGGGACCACCCCCCACATCTTAAACAAATCCAGAACTGCTTCTCATGGACCTTCCTACCAGCACTGCCCGAAGCTCGAGCCGTCAGTCCAGGCGCGACGACGAGGTGCCCCATGGGGTCCTCGAGGAGCGGTCGGATGTTGGGGGGGACCCCCATGCAACCATTAAGGGGAAGCTCGGCGATGTCCTCACCCCCGAGACTGAAACACTTCACACAGCGGAGGCCTGCAGGCCCGTCAACCCATTCATGCCAGTCCTGTTGCACTCGATGTGTCCGTCGCCTACGGCGGTTGACGTCGGAACACCTTTGCCACCGAGGCGTGACCTCAAACAGCGGCAGGACGGCGGCAGCCAGCTTACAGAAGTTGGCAGCTCGTTCCTCGGCTACCTCTAGCTCCTGCAAGAAAGATGGGTCGGCAGACGGGTGAGATCGAACAGCCACTTTCGCATGGTGATCAACCGTGCGGTTGGCCTCGGCATATTCACGCTCGTGCTGCTCCAATGAGTCAATCACTGCCTGAGTCCGATGCGCCTTCACATGACGCACCTCCTGTATGAGAGCTGTGCCCTCAAGCGTGTGGGCAAACTTCCTGATCCCTGCAAACTTGCTGCGCACCGACAGCTGCTGAGGCAGTTCCTTTTGCGCGAGTTTAATCGCAGACATGCAGTCGACGCCGAGCTGAGCTGGTCTATTTGCCACCTGACCGCACAGCGCCACACCCACGTGCTCAGACATCGCAGGTGTCTGCGGGAAACTGCCGTGGACCACTCCACGCATCACACAGACTGGAGCAGGATCGGATCCGCTCGCTGGGAGCACCGCCATCGCCCATGCTGCTCGCTGGAGCGCACGGAAAGGGGGCTTCGAGCATGACCCGCCCGAAACCATTCTTAAAACAGGCTCGTCCGATAATTCAGCTAGCTGCTCTGGGCTCCTGTCCAGAGGTTCTCACGAAACGTCAAAAAATCCCACCTCAGTTGAAGTGGATGGTTTCGGCAGCTCGCTTTCTGGGTACACATGGATCCCACGGGGAGGAGGGGGAGGAGGGGGAGGAGGGGGAGGAAGAGGAGGAGGAGGAGGAGGAGGAGGACAAACTAGGTGCGCTCGCGTCATATCTGACGTCCTACCCCTCCCTCCAATCCCTTACCATGGCGCGGATTTTCTCTATCCGCGGACGCGTGTCGTAGCGGACCTGTGGCTCCGCGCGCGCGTGCGTAGTGGGTGGTGGTGCGCGTGCGTGCGTGCGTGCGTGTGTGCGTGGTTGTTGTGGTGGTGCTGGTGGTGGTGGTGTGGTGGTGGTGGTGGTGGTGGTGGCTGTGGTGGTGTTGGTTGTGGTGCTGGTGGTGTGGTGGTGGTGGGTGGTGGTGGTGTTGTGGTGTGGTGCTGGTGGTGGTGCTGGTGGTGGTGGTGTTGGTGGTGGCGCTGGTGGTGGTGGTGCTGGTGGTGCGAGAAAGAGGCCCGCGCTGGGGCGAGAACGCCATCCTGAACGACGGAGGCCAAACACCGATCCGAAAATGAGGCCCACGCTGCAGCGGGAGCACGATTCGGAACGATTCGGGAGCAGAAATGAGGCCGGCGCCTCAGCGAGAGCAGCATTTTGGAAAAAAAACGCAGGCGAAAACCCGTTTCCCGGGAATCCTGTGTGTAAAAAACAGTACGCGGGGGGGGTCGGATATCTTCGGGACGCCATCAGGGGAAGTGGGAGAGTGTTTTCATATTGTGCAATTGTGGAGGAGGAGGAGGAGGCGGAGGAGGAGGAGAATGAGGAGGAGGAGAGAGAGTGAGGAGCAGGAGCGGAGGAGGAGAGGAGGAGGAGTAGGAGGAGGTGAGATGAGGAGGGCAGAAGGAGGGAGGAGTGGTGGCGGGGGTGAGGAAGGATGGGTGGAGGAGAGGAAGAAGGGAAAGTAGGGAGGAGGAGAAGGGAGGAAGAGGGAGGAGGAGGAGGGAGGAGGATGGAGGGAGGGAGGAAGGAAGGGGGAGGAGGAGGAGGAGGAGGAGGAGGAGGAGGAGGAAGGCGAGGAGGAGAGGAGGAGAGGAGGAGGAGCAGGAGGAGGAGGAGGAGGAAGAGGAGGAGGAGGAGGAGGAGGAGGAGGGAGGGAGGAAGGAAAACTAGCGGGAGGGAAGGAAGGGGGAAGCGAAACGGAGAAGCAGAGGCGCAGCGCCTCGATCGCGAGGCACCCGTCCTCGACCGCGAGACAGCCGTCCTCGACCGCCAGGCAGCCGTCCTCGAGTGCCAGGCAGCCGTCCTCGAGCGCGAGGCAGCCGTCCTCGAGCGCGAGGCAGCCGCACTCGATCGCGGGGCACTCGTCCCCGGATGCGAGCCTCTTGTCCCCGAGCGAGGCGCGCCCGCCCTCGAGCGCGAGGCAGCCGCACTCGATCGCGGGGCACTCGTCCCCGGATGCGAGCCTCTTGTCCCCGAGCGAGGCGCGCCCGTCCTCGGGCGCGAGGCGCCCGTCCCGTCCTCCCACTCCTCCGCCGGCGCCGCTTCCTCGCCTCACGCCGCAGCCGCCGATCAAAGCAGCAAGCGACCAGGGAAAGTGACAGCCTTCTGCCCCTCCTCCCCGCAACCTCCAGGAGGAAACTGGAGGTCCCCAGAGGCCAAGACCTAGCCAACCACATCCAAACTCGTCGATCCTCGTCGTCGCCCTCCTCCTCCTACTCATCGGTGATCCTCGGTCCGCCTCCTCCTCCTCCTCCTCCTCCTCCTCCTCCTCCTCCTCCTCCTCTTCCTCATCCTCCTCCTCCTCCTCCTCCTCCTCCTCCGCTCGAAGGCGAGCGACGCCCCCTGTCCCCTCCTTGGCTGCTCTAAGCACCAGCGCGCTGCCTGGCCCCACAGGTTCGTCTCCGCGCGGGGCGTGCTCCTCCTGGGGGGCCCAAGTGTGGGAGAGGGAAATGATCGGCGGTGGACAAACCTCCCTGTAACAGACCACCCTTTGATGAAAACGGCCTAGAACCGAAACCGACGGACCTGGACCCGCAAAAACGACGGCCACGACGCCCTCTCGCGAACTGAAAGCGGCCGAGTCGCTAATCGCCGTGTCAGGGCAGGAGGTCCATCAACCTCCGAAATGAGGACGGGGGGAAACGGGGGAGAAGGGGGGACCCTGAGGTCCTGACATCTGAATTTTCGAGCCCGGCGGTCCCGCTAAACTTCGGGCCCCGGGACCTCCACAGATCGACCCGGCTCGAACAATGACGCAGAAACATGGGAGGGCAGGGCTCCAGGCTCGATTGTTCACGGAGTTGCGCTTTGCTCGCTGGGTCGGCTCTCGGGGGAGGAGGAGCGAGAGAAACAGCGGGAGGAAGATGGGGATGAGAAGGGGGAGTGGGAGGAGGAGGAGGAGGAGGAGGAGGAGGAGGAGGAGGAGGAGGAGGAGGAGGAGGAGGAGGAGGAGGAGGAGGAGG